CAATGAATTTAGTGACCGGCAATTGCTATCGTTTTGCATCGCATGGTCTGGTAACTCAGCTTTCCTCAGAGATGCATTTGGAAAATTATCACTTATTCTTTCTAATAACAAAATTGATAATGTGCCTGAGTAATCATACAATTTTGTCTGATGCGATCATAAATAAATCATTTAAATATAGAAAGAAATCTAGGAAAATAAAATCAACTTTATCAAATAAAATAATAAAATCCGTGAGAAGTAGCACAATAATTTATGTACACCGTAAAAAAAAAATCTGGTAATAACTATCAAGTATTGAGTGAATTCCAATCAAATGCGGTTGATATAATTAAAAATAATTTTATTTTTCTAAATATTTAGTATTATCAAATATAATAATATAATATAATCAATCGTTTGGTAATACTTACTGTAAATATTTAGAAAAATAAATTATTATTTGATTACATTAATCGAACATTTGATTCGAATTATTTCGTTCAACATTTGATAATTATTACCAGACTCTTTTTTTCAGTGTATTATTATATTTAATAGAAGGGAGAAAAAAGCATTTTGTAAGATACATAATAATCCAACAAGCCTTTTATTCCATTACATACTTTAGAACTTGCATCCGTTACAATTATGATACACGATGTAGCTGCAGTCAAAATATGTAATTTAAACGTATAGTTCGATACTCATTTAAGATTATCGTAAAGTATGTAATAATGTTCCGCATACAACGGGTACATACGACGTTCGCAAACTAGATGTATCACGATAAAAGCATAATTCCAAGCATTAACGTCTGATTTCTAATACTATTTCTCAATCAGCCATTACTGTAATATGATTTTCCGGCAAATTTATGATCACGATCAATAAAATTCCGTGTGAGAGCATCAAGTGCCGGTATTCGTTCAGTGCTTTAACGGTTCCAGGAAATTGAAACGTGAAATTGATTGTATGTTATCGTTTCACGGCATATCATTAAAATCCGTCCACCGCGCGTTTAGTTGCAATCGAGTTCAGCGTTGATAGCGGTCGGTGTTTGTCCACGTTCCAGTTTATCATACAGTTTTATCTGAATCGAGCATACGTATTTAGCAAAAAAAGTCGAAATCTCGTTTAAATACAATAATTTCTTCGGCGGAAATCGTTTTCTTTCGGGAAGATTTTACATATCTTTAATAGAATTATTAAAACAATTCAAATAAATTAGAGAAGTTCGTAATTTTTAATCAAATTCATAACGACATATTTTCTGAGATTTTTTGTGATTTTTGTTATAATGTATAAATGATTAAATTAATTAATTAATTTTTTTCTTTTTTCGTGATTTTGTTATAATATTTGAGTGATTAAATTAATCCATTAAGTTTCTTCTTTTATCCCTCTTTTAAAAATATTATATATATTTTTAAATAATAAAAATAGATACACGTACCGCGTCAGTAGTTTTAGTATTGAACTATGAATTAAAATCCCAAAAGAAAATAAAATTTGCGGAAATCAAGGATGTTTGATAGATATTTCAAAATAATAAAAAAATTATGAAAAAATGATTGTCACACAGATTATTATAAGTAGAGCACTTAAAAGTAATACAACAAATCTTTTTTAGTGACTATTTATTATCTAGATCATAAATTATTTTAATAAGAAGTAGTATTTTTTTAATCTGTGCTCTAATATTAAAGGTATGGAAATGTATTATAAAATAAACGATAAAAATCTCAATTTTTTAATATAAGTATTTTATGCATTCAAGATTAATGTAAAGTTACATTATGATGCAGAAATTAGTTGTCCAGTAAACAAACAAATTATTTATTTGTTCTAAATTTTTGTAATTAATCGGTGAATCGTGATGAAACTTTGAATAAGTTATTTTGAATACAAAATACTTACACAAAAATATTTAGATTTTTATTACTATTTTTTAAATTTTAGTTTATAACAATAAAAATAATAACAAATAAAGTAAATAAACTGTAAAAATGTATTATTTAATAAAAACAGAATATTATGAACACAACTTTCATACCTATGTATTAGTTTGTTTAAAGTATATAAATATTAATATCTATATGTGCCATATATGCCTATCGAACATCCTTAAGTTTCAGCAAGTCTTTTCGTATCAGCTGTCGAAAAGAATCAATTCATGTACTTTTATCTTAGAAGACTTAAAAACGTTTTAAATTCGTTGCTGCACGTCAGACTCGATCGACGAGCCGATTTGTCGGCTGCAGAATGTTCGATTTATCGACCGATCGTTAGCGGACCTTCCTGAAAGCACTCTCGCCCGTTGTTACACGTCGGGATACGTTACTAATTAGCTGACGCCCGTTAATGGTCCAGGACTCCATTAAACTGTAAAATATTTAAATAACTCGTCGGTCGGGCGTGTCTGACCGCGAATTACTCGTCGTAAGTCAATTCTGGGGAACTCCCCGAATGCAGCCTTTCGAGAGAGAAGGAGCATTTAATGTATGTGCGAGTTAAGGGGGTATTTTGGGGAAGCTGACGAGCCTGTAAATTATTGATATCGCTATCCGACGCACAACTCCTTTCGGCGTGATGGCTGCACTCAAAATTAAACCCGTGTATTTTTAGATATTTGAAACTATAGAAGTGCACATAAATAATTTCAGTATTTGATTATAACAATAAAACAATTGTTCCAGAACTAATATTTAATTTAAATTTCTTTGTATATATATATATCATAAAGAAATTGTCGCTAAATGAAAATTCAAGCTTATTAAATTTCGATTTTTGGTAATGAAAGGTTTGCTTAATAAAAAAATGTGTTCTCTTTTATTGTAATCATTTATTCATTGTAAAGAAAGGATAAGGGGGTAATATTAAGATTAAGTACAATACACGTGGCTGGTTCAATTTGAGAAAAAGGGATTTTCGATCTCGATTTCGACCCTGATTATAATTCAATTATCGTAAAAGACGGAAAGACGTGGCTGAACATTTTCTAGCATTTTTTTTTCGATATGCCAGATATGACAATTGTTACGTTTGTTGCTTGAATTACGAGATCGATAACATTCTAAGGATCTTACAATCAGATGAATCCTCAACGAGGAATTTTTAAGTGAAAATGCCAGCAAAAAGTAGCCGGTACGATTACGTATACGTGTCGTATATTATGCAAACAGGTGATTGCAAAGTATTATTAAAAATGACACGCAGATCGTTACTATTATTTACAGATAGCTTACGCGCTAAATATGCTTATACAATCGTAAAATCTATAGCAATAGCGTAGAATATCTCG